AAATGAAAACATTGTCTGTTCCTGTTAATGTACATGTAGCTCAAAATAGTACTAATATTTATTTTGATCATATATGCATCACGTGAAGTTTATTTCTGTTATACACGTTTCACCATGCTATGCTATGTCAACTAATCAGAGATTTTAACTGCTAATTTGTTGACTTAAGTTGGTTTTTTTTTTTCATTTTACAACTTGCTGTACAGCAGTCCTATTGTGCAAAAGTAATCTATAAGACAAGTATCACGCATCATGATGCAAGTTCTTTTCAAGGATAGTGGCCCAATCACAACATCCAGTAATCGATCATCCGGTAGTGTAGCAGCTCTCGTAAGCTTGTAATTCTATTTGTCGTCATTGCAGCAGCTGTTATTGTTTGGGGCTAGGGGGCATTGTTTCTGCTGTTTGCTCTACTTTCCTCTCAAAGGGTTTCAAGCCATTCATGTGAGACCTTACGAGAGCTGCAACATGACCCATGTCATCAAGCTCCCAAACTCTACTTGGTAACTGTACTCTTCCAATGGATGAGTGGAATGGAAACGTTCTTGCCGAGTCGACTTATGAGAACTATGTGTCAGAAAAAAATCAGTTAACTACAGGTTTATCAAAGAAAAAGAAAAGGAGTGAAAAAGGGGTATTAAAATTGAATGAACATACTGTTCACCAACTGACTCCAGGGATTGTTTCCCCCAAAAAACAGTCAACTAACACTATACCTGGCTATTTCTAGCATTTTTCCCATACAATAATAGGTACAACCAAAAGCTCCTATTTGAAGATTAAAAACTATGATTTCCTTTTACTTTGAGGAAAATATATAGATTTCTTTTAGGAATGCACAACAAGCAAGGCTTGGAAAACTGGCACCAGCACCATGCAGTCAATGGATGAGTGAAAGGAGCAATTCTGGCTTGATTTTAGATATTTTCAGTTGCGTTTTAAAAACTTCATAATTACTGAAAGTACTGGTCACTTACATAATATTATTCTTGTAAAAGCCTGTTTAGAATTCTTCCCAGCCTTGTTAATAATATAATCATTCATATAAAGAAACCAAGGAGCCAAAAAACACCTACAATTAAAGGAAGTTGTTGTTGTGCAAAACAACATTCATTTAATACATACCTTTTTATCCTTTTTAAGGAGTTCATTTAACCTGATTCCTTCTACATAACGTCCTTTTTGAAGGTAGTGCATCACAAGTAGTTCTTTGGAATATGGGAAGGTTTCTTCTTGAAGAAAGTTTACCAAGAATTCCTGACAAAACNATTGTCTAACAATAATAGCATCTGCTCATCAGGAGTGCCACCTCCGCCATCAAACAGTGGAACACCTTCAACAGCAAATCATCATCATTATCATAATTCTGTGTTATTACTTGTCATTGAAAAATATAATATAGAATGATTACTTACAACATCATCCTACAGCAATGTTATATTGTTATTATTTCTATGGGAATACTTACATTATAGACTTACACTGTACAAAAAAGTACCGTCTAGTAACCAAAACAGTCCTTGAACAAGGCTACCACAATAATAGCTCAAATAATAGCTTATCAAGGTTACATGACTGTATTTGATGTTCTACTTTCTGTCCAGACCTAATATTTCTAACTGCCACTGGTGACATGTCCAATGAAGGTATAACTTTTTGGAAAATGTGCAGTGAAGTCCTTTTTCATCCTTTTGAATGAATCAACAAGCAAGGAATTATGATGATCAAGGATAAAATGCTTACACAGTTGATCAAGTTGGTCTTTAATATCCACAACGCGATCCCAAGCCCAATCAAGAATCAACTTCAAACTGCAGCCAGCATGAGTCACATCTAGAGGAGGAATTCAACATTAGGCTCCAACTTTAATTTTGTACCAATCAAAAGTTCATTTACCATTAGTTACATGATGTAACGTTTTGATAGTATTGCTTGAATCAAAGACTTAACTTGGAATTGAGTGCCTGGAACTTCAAGGAATTTGTAATGTGTTGACCAATCCCTATATCCATAGTTGGAAAATACCCACAACTAAGCCAAAAGAACCCACTAATACCTTCTCAAGACACCAACTACACAACTGGATCACTTAAGTTAGAAACTACAAAGGGAGAGTGGTTGAGGACCGGAGAGACCAAAGCAGCTAACTGCTTATATTAATTTAGCAAGTGCTTTGTTTTAGATATCTCCATCTAAAAAGGGTTTTAGGTTCCAAATGGTACAAGACTGTGCACAACAAGAGGTTCATAGCAATCTTTACTTCCTGCTCCCAGTTTGTTCAAATTGTGTCGTCATTGTATATTAGTCCAGGGGTTTCATTAATGGCCGGTCACCGGGCAAATTGACCAGCTGTGAGGACAGTTTTGCCCACCTGGTTTGCCCATCTAGAGGAAATTTTTTCTTATATTAGAAGTTAAGTTCAAATAACTTTGCCCACCTGTGAAAATCAGTTACCCTCCTGCTGAAGATTTTAATGAAACCCATGTTAGTCTCAGGCTACCCCTCTCCTATCTTCATCTCAAGAAATAAACTAAAATTATAACCCAACTTACTTCCAGTTCCCAGTTTTTTAATGCATAATGTGATGAAAGTCACCAAGCCATGCTCCAAGGCAATGGAAAGTAGAGCCTCATAGTGAAACTACAAGAAAATGAACCAGGAAAATGTGAATATTTTCTGGATACAAATATGACTGTGTGTATATCTCATTAACATAACTAGACAGGCAACCATTGTTAATTATGCAACTAAAATACCTTAATTTGTTCCTATCATATTTGTGAGTACAAATCCATTGTTATATTCCTTTTTATTTATTCTTTCTACATTTTTTGTATCATTTAGCTGCCACATCAATAAATTATTGGTCTTTCCATTGCACATTATAATCTTATAAATTACCATATTCAAATTTAACTTATCATAAGCAACTGATGATGGATGGATGGAGACAACTCCACTACGTTTTACCACTAAAGGACTGTCATGTGGTTTCTTACTACAACACAAAAATATTCATGAGAAATAAACTTTTAACATGAAGTAAATACATGTTAAGTGAAGCAAGGCCAATATGGCATGTTTGAAACAAATTATTTAAAACAGCTGGTTTGAATGCTGCATTCAGAGCTTATAAAAATTTGACGACATTAATCTTGTACATGTACATGTATTGCCAGACCCAAAATGTAAAGATTTCTTTGTGCTAGTTTATTGTTTTATAAGTTTTTGTATGGAAGACAAACAGTATCAAGACAAAAACACTCAATAGCAAGATGGAACATTCAGTAACACAACCACAACATGACAGGTTAAAGCAAGAAGTGATTTGTCCCCTTGAATAAGTTGGATGGATCTTTGAATGACACCTACCACAAAATGAATCAAAGATACAAGCTTTTTAATGTGGCTATCTCTATCAAATGCCTAGAGATGTGGTGCAATTATAAATGTGCAAGAAATGAAGTAACACTGGATCTAAGGAAACCATTTAGTTAACATATTTCTCAGACATTTTTCATGAAATTAAAACCACAACCCCATCTTGGAATCCTCTTAAAGGAGCAAATAACCCCAAGGTGTGCAAAAACATCAGCCCTCTGAAAATACATGACAACACTCTAGCATTTACTGACGGACAAAAAGCAGAACTGATGAACTCTTACTTCACAACGATTGTCTAAAGCTATCTAATTCTTTACCTGGCCCCCAAAAAAATTTGATTAGAAAACACCAGGAATATTGCACTCATGTGCTAAAAGCCATACATGTAATTCTAACTCTAGAGAAACATGGATAAATATTAGCATAATAATTTGTTGATGTAAATATGATCACACAAGCATCAATGACACCATCACATCCGGATCTCTAGAACACCCGAATGGAATAAAGGTTACTTATGGAAACTCTTTGTGAACGGCATTTTAGTTTTTAGTTGTTGTAGTAGTTACTGTCATTTGTTTGACATTGCGAGTCATTTTGTAAAAGAAATTCAGGTCCTGACCTCTAGCACTTTTGAAAAGCATTTTGTCTTATCTAAAGTATACAAAGGATCATTTTGGCTTTGCATTATGTTGTAAAAAAATGGATGCTAGTTTTTATGCTTGACACTTTCACCAAGTAAGTTATTATTATATGAGCGTGTTCACCACAATAAACAGTGCCTTTAAAAAAAAGTTTACATTACAAAACATGCTACAGTGGTATCCCGCCTAACAGCCACCTCGTTAATGCTCAGTCAGTCATTTTCTTATTAAAGAACCCCTTTAATACAGCCATCCTGTTGATACAGCAAGATTTTTGTGGCCTGTTGGTGACTAGTTAACAGGGTTCCACTGTATGTGTAAGTAGGTACTCACAGATTCTTTTTTTAATACTCACAGATCTGTCCTGTGGTTTGGAAAGGTCAAAATTCCTTGGGAGAAGCCCAGCGACATAACACATGTTGAAATACTCATGTGCATCAGACAGACAGCTGATTCCCTCTTTACTCATGTTAGCAAGAATCTATAATAGAATTGCATTCTTCATTATATCAACGATGTCATTTCATGTAAATTCTTCACTTCTCAAAAAATAATAAAACTACATCTCTTTCCAGGCTCAATTTCAACTGCTCCCCTTCTAGCAATTTTATGTGAATGTACCACAGCAATTGGCACCTGTGAAATCTTTCTGTACATACGTTTCGTGGTGAAATGAGGAAGTATTTTGAGAAGGTTTTGCAAAAGATTTTAAAGGGCAAGTGAAATCTGGAAATACTTGCCCTAACGACAAATTCTTGATCAATAACAATTCCCTAAAACATTAGCAGGCGTATATTAACGTTAAAAGCCAACGTTTTGGCATCATTGTGACAACCATTCTCAAGGCAAAGTGAATAAATAATGCAAAGATTTGAGTTCTATAGTCTCTAAAAAATAGCATAACAACAAAGGATCACAAGTTCTTCAAGTGAATACCTTTGCCCGAATTGAGTCCGTTTGCATGTTTAGGGATGGTTTACGTTTTTTTATAAAAAGCATCTCCTTAATTAGGCAATCAAATTTGTTAGACCATTTAGTAAACACGTGAAATTGTTCTGAAAGACAAAGAGGTAAGTTCGAGTTATGTTCGCTCAAATAATGTTTACAAGTTGACGACGATTTTTGTTTGTGTCCATCAACGCATTCGTGGAGGTGGCCACGAGTGTAACCAATATACCCTGCATCACACAGGTTACATTGAAATTTATAAACTACTGGTAGGCATTGTTGGTTAACAGTGGCTGGCTTGACTTCTCGAACTTTAAGGTCTTCATTGAGTTTTCTGCTGATGAACACGGGTTGAATTGTGGTCTTGATTTGAAGTGGTCCTGTGTGATGTAGGATGTGTTGGTTATACTTGCGGCCAACTCCACGAATGCGTTGATGGACACAAACAAAAATCATCGTCAATTTGTAAACATTATTTGAGCAAACATAATTCAAATGTACCTCCGTCAGAACAATTTCACGTGCTTACTAAATGTTCTAACAAATTTGATTGCCTAATTAAGGATGGTGCCTACTTTTGCTAGTGCGCACACGTTCTGCACATCACGCAAGGCATGGTTTAAGCGCCATGCGCGCACTGGGTTAACATGACACAATCAACTACGCTACCAAGTACACGACTAAGTTGAAAGCAAAATTTTCCTACTGTGACCAAATCAAGTTTAATGAACCTGTACTTAAACCAGGAACACCAGAACAGCAGCATATCGCAAACCACTATCTGTTAACATCTTCCAGCTGAAAAACTAGTTGTTATCTGTCGAAAATTGTACTGAAATCCAACTGTAAACATGTAACTGCAGATGGCGTAGTGCGCACGCAAAACAAGTGTGAGATACGCAAATGTTTTACTTACGGGGGTGGTGACAGGAAAAAATGTAACGGGCACCGTAAAAAGTTTAAAAAATGCGTGGTTACCCCTATATTTTATGTTATGAAGTGGAAGTGGCAAGCGTATTCAGCATGTGATTAGTTTCTGGTTGTGAGCAAAAGATATTTAGACAGAGGAAGGCTGTCAGAGATGCTAAAAGTGCTGTTGCAACGATTTTGTTATTAAAAACATACCAAAAATGGTTTTTATGTTACCATTTACCATGTA